AAATCATAGTCAGTTTAAAGTACATTGAGATCTATTATTTTTCTTTACAACAAATGTTATGTTTAATAGGTTATGTACATTTCTTTGACAATATCGTTTTATTTATACTATTCTAGGTTTGTGGAAAGGGAATATAGATGTCTGTTTAAGTCTGTCGCTACTTCAAAATACGAATTTAAAAGAAATTCAAACCTTGTGTAAGATAAAATAACCTAACAATCCAAGATTAATTTACATATCTGTTTTGGTTTAAATTACTGACTTTTTAGAAATAGAAAGTCACGTAGAATTTATCTCATATAGTTTCATATGTTTATAGTAGGGATTTGCCAATTTTTGTCGCAATGAATGTTATATATGAAAGGTAACTTTGAATGATTCCTAGTTCTAATAATAACGTGTTCGAACTTTTCTGATTATTATTTCTGCATTCAACAGTTTTCTAAAATGTTATAACTTGTGACCTGAATCCTAATTAATGTACAATGTGATGATACTGCCATTTAGAGAGCAGTGAATTATCGATCGGATCAATGAAGCATAAAACCCGTACGAGCAGTCTAAAGTCTTTATCGATACTGCTTCCCGCTCAGCAGTGCATGTTAAGTCCAGAACACCAATCTCAGCAACTGAAATATGAATTATTTATTTAAAACATACTGGGTTTATATCCCAATCAGACAGACCACATCGTACCATGAAATAGGATACAACATTTGTACAAGAAGTGGCTGTGAATGTGAGAGGTAGTAATTGATAAACTGGGTATAACTCAAGAATGGTAAATCGTATAATAATAGTTCATAGGTCAAAATAAAGCTCATGATAAGAGGAACACGAATATGAATAATTTAGTCATTTAAAACGTCACTTACGTCTGTTACTCCTCGTGAAGGAGCATAGGCCGCTTACTAGCATTCTCCGTCCGACGCATAGTATTGGTCCACAAATGGGTCCAAAAAGTTACCATTCATTATTCACATCGGGATACAACAGAAAAATTCACATGTGACGTCATGGAATTCCAAAACTGATAGTCATGTAACGGAAAGACGAGAATGATGATAGTTTTGTTTTCTGTCATAATTTATTTTAAATATAGTCATACTTTAGGACAAAGAGTGATATTTGAGTCATTCATCTTATTATCTTAAACAATGAATTTCAACATTCTGAATTGATCGTAAGCATTAATCAATAGATATATTGAATTTGTTATTTTAGATCAATAATTTAGTACGTTATTAGGGGAGAGTTGAAAAAACTGATCGTGTTCATTTGGTGTTACTGACTCCTAAAACCTTTTTTCATCATAGCATATTTTGTGTCAAACGCCCTTCTTCATTAGCAAATCTCAAAAACAATATAAGGAAACTTCATATACTAGACTAAACAGTGAGTTTGTGGGGCCCTTTATTTTGTCGTCATTTAGATCGGAAGATGTTGTCAAAAGGGCTCTCCACTTTAGTGGCCCGAGTTCTGATTCCAATTAGATTGCATGAATGATTGTTATTGGATCGTATATGTTGCCTACCCTCGTATGTCTTTATCGACTTCATCCGCGTTCAGTGAATAACGGAATTAAATAAGTCAAATAACGAGATATTTTGTATATGAAGCGAATGGAATAGAGCGAAGTGAAACGACGCGCAGTGGAGATGGAGGGTAAGCCAACTCCATTTGGTCAAGCGTTAATCAATATTTATAGTCACACAAAAGTAAGTTACAGACATGTGACGAATAGGATAAGAAATGTACACACACATATGAGCTCATACAAAAACAATTAAGATTGGTAAGTGAATAGTTAACAAGGTCGAAATATGACTCAAGTGGAATGAGTAGATTGGTTTGTCCGAAAGCCAGAATAAGGTATATGGGCTTAACATAATAACCGGCACTACAAGTTCCCTTACAAATATCATAATAAAACGTAATTAACCTCTTTAGAAACTTCCAACATTTATATAACCGTATATTTTCGATCGATTTGTTTTGAAATGAATTTTCATGGTCCTAATGAGAAGTAGTGACTGTTAAAGCTCAACTTTGTCGAGATTGAGATAGTGATCAGCAATGTCATAAAATGATCTTCACACTGTATAATTAAATTTATAAATGTAGACCACTGGACGTTAACCCTGTATGTCAAGGTTAAGGCCCCCAATCATGAGAACTGAAGGTACTGAGATCAATCTCTAGCCGAGTCAAGAATAGATATTACATAAGCAACCCACACTACTACTATCCTGTGCTAGCTGGTTATCCACAGTAAACTAACTGATGTTAGTCCATTCCTTATACAATCGACCAATCAAATTAATCTTTATAAGCATCTCAGGGATGAAATTTCTATAAGGGCAATTTTAAACTATAACTCACCAACGTAGATGATCTATGTCGAATGATCGGAAGCCTACTCGAGTTAAACGGGAATGGCGTGACGAACCAGCTAACGTTGAAGCCACACCTCGTGGTCAGCACCTTACGTGGACTACCCCATTGACGTATCAAGGTACCATTGATGCTTTAGAGACAGTACAACACAGAAGACGTTATTAGTTAAAGTAGATACAAGCGAAAGTAAGACCACGGCCTCATGCGCCAGTCCATGGCGTACGATTAATTGATGCGCGTCGATTTTCCTTGACCCTGACGAGGATCGATGATTTTTCCGATATTCAGTGACCCAACTGCCGGATGGTTTGGCTAGGGCTCAGTGGAATTTCACTGGCCCTACAAAACAGACTAAAAATATACCAAAAATTAAGGCTAAACAGCGTTCATCAGAATCACTTGTTTAGTATCTGGGGAAAAACTCGTACTTCTCTTGTATTACGAACGAATTTTACTGAACCCGATGATCAAAGTATATTCAGTTAACAGCTGCCCTTAAGTTCATTACTTAACTAAGATGATGACTGACATTTTTTTAAAACTCTTGACAGAAAAATTATCGATAAACTCTCTAATACATCATGCTAAAAACAATCCATAAAGACACCATATTCATTTTTTTAGATTAACTGCAATAATTCAACCCCAAAGTATTTATGACAATTAACATTAAGTTGTAATGAGATTTCACTCTGTTTACATTTATTCTATTTAAGCTGCTTCGACCTTGTCATCCGAATAATAATTGAAAGTCATACTAATTTCGAATAAACTTTGTACTGTGAAAATATGTTTATATTGGAAAATAATCACTGAATGCAAAGATATTAATGCACTGTCGCTACTCACTGGTGTAACATATCAACAATTCTCGTTAGCACTATCATTATCGGCAGTATGCAAAATACATCTATTCTTTAAAAATATATCAGATATTCAAAACATTTAATCTTTGATATTTTAATAGTTGAGATCACGAGTCAGTTGAAGCTAGACCACCATGGAAAACCTGGAAGCACTGGACGGTCGTTTCATCCTATTGTGGGACTCAGCAGTGTACATCCACGTTTCCGTCTTATACTAGAACGAAACGGCCGTCCAGTGCTTCCAGGTTTTCCATGGTGGTCTAGCTTTAATTGACTCATGATTTCAACTATTAAAATTACTATAATATTCACAAAAAACCCTTCTGATACTAATCTCTGATATGTTTAGTTTGTGTCACGAACTAAGAGATATAGCTATTTCAATACCTGTAGAGTTAGATTTGAAAAGATATTTTGATCACGATCATCATGATCAATGTTAATAATAAAGAAAGATCAAAATTTTGTCCACCACACTTGTAATTGAAATCAATGTAGTCATGATAGAATTGCTGTATAAACAAAACGTTTTGAAGTGAACAGTTCCAGTTTACATTTTATGCCTGAAGTTTCCTATTAATAGTAATATCACAAAATATTAAAAAATATGATTCTATGATCAGTTTTAAACATAAGTCTTAAAGCAAGTGACAATTAAAGTGTTTTTGACTTTTATTCGGTTTTTGTAGTTTAACTATTTTTACAACCGTTGACGTACATAATAAATAACATAGTAGAGATCACTAATATACCTCTTCATACATCGCTATTTCTATATTTACGTCATAAACTATGTAGGAGTCAGATATTCCTGTCCTATCAAAAATAGTAAATTCCAAAGAGCTATTATTTAACCTCAGATAGGTCATCTTTGAAAATATGCAAGCGATAAATGACCATTTTGTCCTAGTATGGGGTTCCTCAAAAATGTACATTCACGATCTCGCATTAGAAAATCAAACACAAGACATTTGATTTTGCGCGCAAATACCTAACTACTAAACCAATGAGCTGGGCTAACGTCCGACACGCTCTAAAGACTACCATTTACGCTTTCTCATGAAAGCACCTGATGGACCATTTTGAAGATAGTCATTAGTGAGCGCACGATCCTGTTTGTTGATATGACCCAAAATCCTCCAAAATGGTATCGAATCTTATAAATGAAATACTAACGGACGAAAATCTATATCTGTTGATAAACTTCAAAAATTTAACTGGATGGAACGAAATACACTTTGCTACATCATGAAAACTAATGAATAATAAGTAAATAAATATTGATCTATCATTCTTACATCTTTTTTAACTCATATTGTAGACAATAATGATGTACATTTGGTTGTCCAGCTATCTATTACGTCTTTGAAAACCAATTTGATTGACATAACAACAAAAACAAGCATACATTGTATATGATAACATTTTTAGCAATCCTCATATATTCTGAGAAGTACGATTTGCCGCTACCAGACAAAAAGATTAAATTATTCTCGACCATGGTCTACAGTCATAAATGAATATTGATTTTTATATAAGAACTGAATACACATGCATACATATACTTTATTTGATTTCATTTATTCACTTTACAAATCCATATTCAACATTCTAACATAATTTGTTATTTATTTAGTACACACTCATTTTGTAGCTCTATCAGTAATTTAAGTTGTTAGATTGAAGAAACCCTTTTCTAGTTGAAGAGCAAATGGTTAGGATAATTTTTTTATTTCAATCATTGAAGACTTTACAATTATTTCTCTCATTTTTTATTACGTAATTCATATTCTTTTTAAATTTTAGATGTTTAGGTGTAAATTAGAATTTTAATCTCCAAGCCGATAAATATTTTCTTATGACCGGTATGACGGTTCCAGTTTGTTCGATGAACAGTACAGGTGATATTTATCTATTAAATCAGGTAGGACAAATTAGATAACATATATAAAATAACATCTATTTCTCACGAGCTTTATTACAGTTTGGTAATGAAAAATACCGTCTAGGGTGAAAAATTTATATTATTTAGAATTCGAAGAAAACTACTAGCCATCTGTTTAAGTATTTCTAAGTACCATGATGAATAAAAATGGAAGCGAAATTCAAGAAGGGACCTTACAATAGAAAGTTAAAAGCAGATTTTATCACAAACATATCTCGGCTAAAGGGTAGTTGAAAGCAATCGATCATCCAACCGATATTTGATAGTAGATCCCAAATCATCTCACCGATAGAAAAGTAACTGTTATGTAAGTTAGTGATATCTGGAAAATAATGAAAGTTTACAGATCGTTCCCAAATCGAACTTATTGTAGACAGAGACACTTGTTATTAATCTCACTAACCTTCAGCAATCAGCACAAATTCTATTTACAATTTAAAGAATATCCCATTCAAAGCTGGTGGTAGCAACGATAGTTTATTAGTGAATGGTTACTTTTAATTTAACCATTTGAGGTCTTCTTAATTATATGGTTGTAGTTTATTAGTTAACTAGTTGTCTGATAAAGCCAATTTAAAAACAAAAAATTCACATATTTGTGTGAATTTAAAGAAATTATAATGTCAGTTAAATGGTTAAATATGATTTTTCCAAAAACCTACTATTTACGAACTAGTCATCCATTAAACTTGAAATTCCATTACTGGCTCAATATGGACAGTTTAGCACATGACATCATTGGTGTTTTGTTTTTTAGCACAGTTCTTCTTTAGAGGATGAGTTTGTTAACCCCATTCCCTACCTTTTTTCTTTATCCAGACATGTGACTAGCAATACCTCCTAGAAGGACTCGAGAAGAAGTTGTATTCTCGGCGAGGCCTCGTGCTGCCCCCAAATGCCCTGGTACGGCCGAGAGTGGGGAGAGTCCGCTCTCTCTCGAAATTCTCTCACATAGCCACGCGTATATAGCCTCTGCCAGGGAAGTCATACTCACTGCCTTCTCGTAGCGGGGGTGTTGTTTACGAAATTTAAAGGACGAAAAGCGAACGTATGGCGCTTTAACCGGGTTGGTGGACGTGGAGAGTCCACCTAGGGAGGTGGAAAATCCTGATTACAAACCAATGGTGCACATGGGCTCCAGTATCCTGCGGGAACAAATGGCGTATGAACCAATCGTTGGTCACCGGCTAGCATGGGACTGCATCTCCTTACGTTGCCCCACTGCCTTGTGGATCAGACTTTCAGGTCGAAGGCTCCGGGTGTGGCCCCCCAAGACAACCACCTGCTTCGGTTTGGGCACCCGGACAGTATCACAGTCCTCACACAAATCAAATGAGATTTGTGTGGCGCATATGTATTTGGTGCCTCCTTGTACTAATATCTATGCGTTAACATAAATAAATAAAAATGTAGTAACTAACTATGGTCTATCATGGTAACACCATATTTTATTGAACCTTGTTTATTTTTCTATTCAATAATATTTATTTCTTTTTACTTGTTTTAATATTATTTATTTTAGGATTTGATTAATGCAGCAAATACTGCTATATATTTAAATACTCAATTAAATTCAATGTATTATACAACATTAAACATGACAGAATTAAATGATTTTCAATCAAATAATTTACCATTATTGGAACAATACATTAATGTACATGGTACTACACATATGTCTTATTGTTCACGTGTAACAAGTTTTAAATCCAATTTTTATTTACGTAATATTTTACAAACTTATGTACAACCATTTGTAATATTCTTTACAATTATAACAAATTGTTTAATATCAATTGTATTAAATTATCCAACAATGCGTAATTCAACCAATATTATATTATTAGGTATAGCTATGTGTGATTTATTAACTGTATTATTACCATTACCTGTATATTTATGCTTTTTAACAAGTAATATATTTTCAGAAAATTTAACAATATTTAAAGGATATAGTGTAACTTATTTAACTACAATATTACCAACTGTATGTCATACATCATCTATATGGTTAACTGTATTATTAGCATTACAACGATTTATTTATGTACAATTTCCATTAAAAGCAAATCAAATTTGTTTATGTCAATGGAGATCAGTTCAATTATTAATTATTTTAACTGTATTAGCTGGTTTATTATTACAATTACCGCATATGATTGTAATGCATTTTATTAATGCATTAGAATATTGTTTTTTATCATCGACATCCTCATCTTCACCACGACTACCACCATCATCATCCTTACTACCACCATCATCATCATCATCATCATCATCATCATCATCATCCTCACCACCATCATTATCAATATCAAATTATTTATTTGATTCACAATTTATTTCATATTTATTTAATACTACTGATAAAATAAATCATTATAATTATATAAGATTTCATAAAATTAATTTAATGAAATGTACACCAATGAGTCAAACAATATTTTTTACATTATTATTAATACGTGTATTAATTGTTAATTTAATACCATGTATTATGTTAACTATATTAACTGGTTTATTAATTATGGCATTAAGACGTTTTATACAAAATAGACAAAAATTATTAAAAATCAATAATCATAATAATAATGATAATAATAATAATAAATCAATAACATTTTATAAAAATAATATAAATTCATATATAATCCATAAAAAATATAATGAAATGAATCAATTAGAAAAATCTGATCAATCTAATCAAAATGAAATCAATTTATTAAATAATCAATTAAAATCAATAAAAAATAATAAAAATTTTAAAAAAAATCATTACGTCATAATTTAACTGATACTGATTCTACATCAAAAATGATGCTTGTTATATTGGGAATATTTTTATTTACAGAAATACCAACAACAATATGTTTATGTATTTATGCATTTATAACATTATTAGATATTTATCCACCATCAGCATTTTATCAAGTAAGTGTTTAATATTTATTAATGAATATAGTGTGTTGTACAGTGGCGCAACTTCGTGGATTGATTGAAGTTAGATATTAACACCGTTGGATGTCAGCTCAATGATCTAGTTGGTTAAGCGCCTGGCGCGAAACTGATAGGTCCTGAGTTCGAATCTCGAGGAGGGCGGGTCGTGGATGCACACAGTTGAGGAGTCCCACAATAGGACGAAACAGCCATCCAGTGCTTCCAGGTTTTCCATGGGGTCTAGCTTCAAGTGACTCATGATTTCAACCAGTGAAATTTTTAAAAATCTCCACACAACCCTTTTTTTGTTCGTTTGCTTTTGATATTATTAGTAATTAAAGAAAGAATGAATCGAATAAAGAAATTTCTTTTCAATTAATTTTCCATCATGGCCTTTCACAAATATATATGATTTACAACAATGAAATAATACTCATCGAGTGGGTACTCTATGTAATAATTATATAAAGTGACATATCGATTATAAATTAACAAAATTTCAGTGCGTGGACAGGACAACAGTATGGAATGCCTGAGAAAATAGTCAATATCATGAGGAATTTCTTTGATGGATTGAACTGAAAAATCATGTATGGAGGACAGCTGACAGACTCGTTCGAAGTAAAGATTGGTGTCAGACAAGGTTGCTTACTCTCACTTTTTCTCTTTCTCCTGGTGATCGACTGGATCATGAAGACGTTAATATCTGTGAGGAAGCATGGGAAACAATGAACAGCTAGGATGCGACTAGATGATCTGGATCTTCTATCCCAAAAGAAACAACAAATGTAAGAGAAGACAAACAACGTAGCATCAACAGCCTCAGCAGCAGTATGCCTCAATATACACAAAGGGAAAAGCAAGATTCTCCGATACATCAGAACATACATCAATCAAATCGCACTTGATTGAGATTTGGAGGATGTAAAAAAACGTTTACATATCTGGGCAGCATCATTGATGAACATGGTGGATCTGATGCACATATGAAAGCGCAGATCGGAAAAGCAATAGCAACATATATACAACTAAAGAATATCTCCAACTCAAAACAACTCTCAACCAATACTAAGGTCAGAATTTTCAATACACATGTCAAGACAGTTCTATTGTATGGAGTGGAAACCTGGAGAACTACGAAACCCATCATCCAGAAGATACACGTGTTTATTGATAGTTGCCTACGAAAAATATTTCGGATCCGTCGGCCAGACACTATCAGCAACAACCTATTGTGGGAGAGAACAAACAGATCCGATTGGAGGAAGAAATCAGGAAGAAGCGATGGAAGTGGATAGGATACACATTGAGAAAAGAACCGAACTGCATCACAAGGTAAGCCCTCACATGAAATCCTCAATGCCAAAGGAGGAGAGGAAGAACAAAGAACACATTACTTTGAGAAATGGAAATAGACATGAGAAGAATGAGCAACAATTGGATAGAAGTAGAAAGGAAGGCAGAGTGGGACAGAGTGAGATGTAGAATGCTGGTCGGCGGCCTATGCTCTATTGGGAGTAACAGGCGTGAGCAAGTAAGTAACTTAGAAGAAAGAAGATTAATAATAATCAAAGTAATTATCCGAATATCAAGAAGTTGGTACGTTACATAATATATGAAAAAAATGGGAAGGAACTAATGGAATATTTTGATGAATGGTCAGTAGTATATTAGATATTTAAGAATCAAGAAACGAATGTTAAGAATAAATAAAATACAAAGATACAAAAAACGGAAAATATACGAAAACAGTTTATCAAACTTCTTCCACAAACCCCCTACACCAACGGACAAGGTAGCGAGAGTGGTTGTACAAAATCTTCTTCTGGATTCAAAGGTTAGGTTCGTGAACACAGATTGCAATGGTTTCAGCAATGTGCAAAAGACACACTCGTAAACCATGTGGCAAACTTGATGGAAGTTAAATGGCTAATTGTGTCTTTAAGTGGTCTGTTTTCTAGTTTTGCAAGGAAAATGTCTCCCAGTAGAGGGCCTAATGGTGACCCTACGGCTACCCCATCTAACTGTCTTTAGTATTCGTTATCCAATCGGGATTGGACATTCATCATGTATCTAAGACTTAACTGTTTTATTGCGTATGCAGGAATTAAAGTTTATATGCACCTCTCTGTTAATTCATTGCAAATAAAATCCAACGTTTCAAGTAGGGGAATGTTAGTGAATAAGTAATTATTTATTCAGTGAATATAAAATCTAGTTTGTTGCTAGATTTCATAGCTATTAAACGGAGTATGCATACTGTTTACAATTTATTCATAGAAGAATAAATAAGTATTCGTTATTAAATAACATCACTAATCAGATAAATGAAAACAACTCACTATTAAACTTCCTTTTGTTCTTTGGAAACTCTTCTACCTTGTGCATTTACAATTTCGTTTAAAATAGAGTTCAGTAAATTCAGATCATTATTTATTAAATTGGGATCTAATGATTGATGTCATCTATTTATTTGGATTTGTGATAAAGTCTGATGGATTGCTACTTCATTATTTTTTTTACTGAATTAACTCCATAACTGGAGGCTTCCTAATGAAACTTCTGATAACCTATCTACAACACAATGATTATATGGACATGTAACTATAAATGATTAAGGTTTACTGTGCTTACGAGTTAAAGAGCTAAAAAAAACAAAGGGAAAACAGTATACAGTTCTTGTTGAATTTTCAAAAATTAAACAACTGTCATCAATTCAAGATGAAAGTTATCCTTGAATTATGGGAAATCTCATAATGAAACAAGCCGTAAAAAATTATGTAATTTTAATTACCATTAATTAGTATTATGTGCTCTTATTTAAAAAAAAGAATTACAGAAATGTATTATTCTTCTGGCCTACATAAACACTGATCATTAGTTATATAGTTACAATGAAAATGTCGAATAGAATCAAGTCATAAAGGAACTGGCTTGCATAATTAATTCAGAAAATCATTGAGAAAATAGTACGTCCCTGTACAAAACGTACAATGTAAAACATGATTACGCAGTTATATCAAAACATTATAAAAAACGATCATTATAACAGTGATAAGAATTATAAACATATTTTTATCATCAGAAGGGGTTTTGTGGAGATTTTAGTAATTTCAATAGTTGAAATCATTAGTCAATTGAAGCTAGATCACCATGGAAAACCTGGGAGCACTGGACGGCCGTTTCGTCCTATTGTGAGACTCCTCAGCACTGCGCAGCTACGATTCCTTCTTATGCTAGAACGAAACGGCCGTCCAGTCAAAGTCTAACAACGTAACCACAGTTGTGTAATAAGACGAAAAATGCGAAAGACTCAGTTGATTATCAGATGTGACGATCAGACACTAAAAAATTTTTTAAAGTTCTTGAATCAAGATAAACAGTTAGTAAAACTATTACTTTCTAAAAAGAATACGATTATCTAAAAGTATTCATTTCCTTAAACGTCAATTCTGCCAGCATAACCATTGTTATCCGCTTGTTCGGATACTCATGCTGAGAGAACAAAAGTTGTGCAAAGTGAATTTGGATTTCTGCCTATTAATCTTAAATACTTCCATGTTTTGATAAGTAAAAACCATGTATAAAGAAAGGTGATTTATGTACGTGATCATCCAAAGTTAAGTCTCATTGTGGAAAGCTCTTCATACAAATACAGAGTAATTTAAGTTTAAATCAAGCTCATTTACATACTTATTAGGCATTAAGTCAAATGTCTCCATAATTTGTGCTCAAAGTTGTCCAGATGAAGATTTTTAATAAGTATCACTTTAACACCAATAACTACGAATGATAATTTAAAATGCGAAAGTAAAATTTTATATATGAATTAATATTTTGCATAAGGAATCAATAGTATCTTTAAAAGTATAAATCACTAGGATAAAATATTTGGTTGATATTCTCTCCTATTTTCAAACATAGAATCACGTATTTATGGGCGGATTTATTACCTTGAAGAAGTCCAGACAAGTTAGCTGGACGAAATGTTAGAATTAATGAAAGTTCAATCGCTGAGATTATTTCAAATATAATTTTCACATAAAAATGTTTTCTCTATACTCGGCACCCAATTTCTGTTAAACTATTCGTTCTAATGTTGACGAATATTCGTATAAAAAGCTTGATAGTTTTTTACTTACGCTAATGTTATTATAAAAGTGAGTTCTTTATAAATATAGATGAAGTAAACGTTGTGAATATTTGCAGCACTTCGGTACGTAACAATTTGATATACATAAATATTAATTTATTAGATTACTCGACTTTTCTTCGGGTATTGATCTTCCACTTATTGTTATCCAATCTTAAATTAAATTTTGGAAACAATACTCTACATTAGTTAACTCATTCTTATTTCTCAAAACATTTATTCTCATCCAGATTATTTATTTATATCGCTTATAATGCTATTGTTTCTATTTTCTTAATACTCCCTTTATACACTTTATCATTCAATGTTTATCTGATATTGTAATTTAAGCTGATCTAGAATTATACGAGGTTCTAGATTGCTTATGGTTAAATAAGAATTCTAGGTGAGACTATTATTTATGGACGACATTTGAGCAACGCTAGACTGACCTTGAGAGTGTTCACTTAATACCTAGGACCAAATGAGGGTTATGAACCTGGGTGAGAAATTAGAATTATTATTTACAGTTAATGATTTAGCTTAAGAATTAAGCTTCAGGTTTCCTTCACGAATTGATATCAGCTATAATGGCAAAACTCTATTTATCCAAGTAATGAGTGAATTTCGCGCCAAAATGCGAGACCTGTTATCTTGTTGCCTCGCCGAGTTCTAATGTAATTTAACGCCTATAGCGTAAATTACTAATTTTGATTGTTCTAAATACGCCGATTTTTTTTGTTGCTGTTGAAATTCCTAATACTTACACAACTATTCTTACTCTACTTATTTGTCGTCGATTCCATAAGCAACATATTAATTGCGGTTCATTTTGATTAGCTTAAATCTATCTTGATAATAA